AATGTAGCAGTATACATTTGACAGAAAATATTGAAAAGACAACGGGTCCATGATAAATACAGCGTGACATCCCATAGCTCGTGTATGGATGCTTTTACAGGGACACACTAAGAAGATGAAACATTCCCTCCAGTTTTCACATTTGTTGACGCAGCCTGGCACGCAACTCTGTTCTGTTATCTATTCTGCAATGTCGCTCCGCGGCAGAATAATTGCCTTCTGGGAGGAATTGACTTTTTAGATGAGGATATGCCCCAGTGAAATCTGTTGTGAGTGATGCTCTGTAGAATTCTTTGAATGTAGAAGGAGCCCAGAAAGAAAGAAATCACTGCAACTGGACTGCTTCCTGGAATATGTTGTGTTACATTCAAAGTTGTTGCTCCACACATTGATATACTAAGTATACACTCGCTGGCTACTTTATTAGGTATATCTTTTTAACTGCTGTTAAAACCTGTCACCAGAGCCATTAGTCTTAAGGGCAGGTGTGTGAGTGAAAGACATGCAATTACAGAGATAGTAGTTAAAAAGAGCACCATCTAAGTAAAGTAAATTAATAAATGACACTTAATATCCAGAGCTCATTATCTTTAATACTTTAATACTTAAATTATTACCTCTATGTTGTGATTAAAGGGTTTTTTCCCCCCTCTTCTGTTTCATAAGATCAATGTCACAGTGAGTTAAGTGGCAGAAATGTAATTTTGGAACAAACAGACTTTAATTATGCATGCCAGCATTAAAAAAAAAGAAAAAAAACCCTGCAGCCCTCCTCTAATACCCTTTGAAAGAAAAAACACTGAGGCTAATCAGCCATTCAGCTCCATCAGTGTCATCATCTGACAGCAATTCAACAGCTAATACTCAAGCATTTGTGATAAACTTTGCACTGCAGCCAAAACAGGCGACTGAACTCTAAAATCATTCACTTGCACGTGCTTGTGTGAGTGCGTCTGTGTGCTTTGCATATTGCTGTCAAAAGAAAGCCTCGAGCAAACACTTACATGACAGATATGTTTTGAGAGAACCCTGCAAAGTCAGGCAACACGCTGTCTTCTGCCAGTAACAATGTGTTTACCAATGAGTGCGAATAATTGCCTCTGATTACAGAAAAAAAGCGAAACGTAAAGATGAAAATGTCACATTTATCCAGCAGGCATCAAGAAGCTTGTGCCGCATCTGCAGCGATAACTGCCAAAAGGTTGTGGAAGTTGAACAGCAACAATACAGAACATTATCAGTGCGCATAATCTGTTATTAAATCTGATCTCTGTGCGTGGCTGGGAGTTATCTGTGATAATATGACCAGTCAGGAGAAGCAGGAGTAGTGAGTAGAAAATAAAAGCTGTTATAGAGATCAATATGAGATTAGAAAAGTAAGTAGCTAAAAGAATGAAATGCTTGCTCAATATTCATATTGATATATTCATACAAGAGAAATTAAACAGTACTCATTTTAGACGGACAACTTTTGTTGTTGGTGTTAAAAAATAAAATTAAATAAAAACATGGCTCGGATCATGCAGAAGGTGTTAAGTAATTTCGTGTCACAGCATCCTCTTCTCGCCTGTACGGGATTATTCTCACCTCGAGCAATTATTGGTTCTCCGAGGGCAGGTGGAATGGGGTGCTGACTCAGCAGATCGCATCTCGTTTCCATATTTCCATATATAACGTATAAGCAGGCGTTAGGAGATGGAAACACGCATAGTGTTTATTTTCACTGAGAAAGTAGCGGCCTCCTGCAGCTTCTCGGCTACATAACGGAAACTTCTGATGAGCGGTCCGTGACTGCCAAGAGCTGTTTGTACACGCTGATGCAAGCAGCTGCAAATTAGCCAGCTCTGTTTAATTTGTGCTTATGCCCTCTTGCTTCACAGTTTGCACCCCTTTTCATGCTCCCCTCACTGTAATCATTCAACAAGTTTCTTCTTCAAACAAAATGTAACTAGCACCTTAATGACTGCATCAGTATTAATCTAGAGTCCACCAAAGTATTGATCTCATTGCAGAGCGATCATGTTTTTGAAAGACTCAACATTCTCATTCTCCACCAACTTGTTGCTATGGGAGACCGCTGATGCTGCTGATCAGCATGATGAAATTTGAGCTATTAATACAAACTATCTGAACACATAGATTCCCTGCAGACACAGAAATGTAAGGACTAATCCACTCCCACAGAAAAGAACTTAACTCCCACATGATAGCTACTGAGAATAACCGGAAACTGAGTAATACACGGCAAGATGTGCAACTGCGCTGCTCATTTTGTCATCGGAACATGATGAACTTCACATGCAGTGCTGAACCCCTCCCACCCCCGTTGTCTGATGGCTTAAACCACCTACATGATTGTGTAGGTGTGAGAAATTAAAAGCAATGATTTAAGCAAATGGGGTTCTCACCAGTGTTTGATCCAGACAAGTTGTACCTAGAATTGGCCTTTTTGATGATGTTCTCATGGATCTGGGACCATTCGCTCTCAGTGTTACACCTGGGACACACACACACACA